GGGTTTCTACTTTTGCCTGCACGTTTACCTTGACGACCGAGACATTACGACCTCTTCGGGCCAGTCTATTACCTCGCCGAAACAAATATTCATCCCGAATAGCATACTAAAAAAAGCAATTTGCGCGGAAGCACTCAAAAGCAGTAGCCCGTAATTAGTAATTTTACCTGGCGGTTTCTTTTAATTATCGTACGCATTTACCTCTAGAAAGATAACGAGTCTCAAACAGGAAATGGTAAAAAAAACAACCCCGAATTGGCGAAGATGGCACACGCAAATGCTGAGATAAACTGTTCTTTGATTTCCAAGTAACAACGAAAAATTTTTCAAGAATGTTTTTCTATTCTCTCGATATTTCATGCATACGATTTTGTCTCAATTGAGAACATCTTGTTGCGTGTTTTGTCCATTTGGTCACGACTATAATAATAATGATAATAATATCTTTATTATCCCAGATACTTAGAATACAATCAGTGTATTATGGATTTCGTTAAGTAAGTCAATATAGATCATGCAAATTAGGCAGAAAATTACATTAAAAATGCATATAAGAAAAATATATGACAGAGCACAACAACACAGTGATGACAAACATTAATAGGTAAAATATTCGTTTAAATTGTAAAAACAGTTTTCTAGGAGTAAAAACTTTAGTTTGGATTTAAAAATATTTACATTACTGCTGCTATAAAAAAATAAACCAGGGAAAAGCGCTGTACCTCGCGGTACGCCTCTGTCTACATATTGGACTAGAGATTTTTTAATTTGACACAAGTTGCCCCGCTCCTGCCTTATTTCAACATACTGCCTACTAAGAAAGATTTGAACCAGTTCGGAGCTATAGCACGAATTCCGTATTGTTCCATCCTCTTCAAAAAAATGTCGTGGTTCATACAGTCAAACGCACTGCTAAGATATCCCAGCAGGGTGCTCTCCAAATTCAATGTAGTTGATGGCATGCTTCAAAAAATGAATGGATCGCTGTTTGGGTTGATCTACCTGTTCTGGAAAAGTGCTGACTTTCAGACAAAATTTCGTTTTTACTTAAATAATCGGTGAAGCGGTCAAGCATGGCGTATTTAAATATTTTAGCAAAGCATCTTCCAGGGCTGTAGGAAAAACTCCCTCTGTTAATGATGCATTTATCAGGGAGGTCAATGGATTCAGGATATAATCGGCACACTGTTTGAATATTATAAGAGGCACACTATCAGGTACATAAGAATTTTTGTTTCTTATTTCATTTATAGTTCGATATTTCCTCTTGAGTACATACTGTCAGGGAAGCTTCCAATTACATATAGAAATGAATTTTTGTGAATGCTAGATGACTTATTAATTTTGTCAACTATTTTACTACTGTCTATGACTGTCTTTTGTCTTTGTCTTGTGTCTTTCGTCATAGACAGAGCACGAAAGAAGAAAAAATTGGCAGTTTATCCGACATTCAAAGAACTTTTCGTTCCTCTAAATTATTTAAGTTGACTTACTTACTCTTTGATTAAACGTCACCTAAACGCAGCTTTTGAAACTTATAAGTGATTAGGGCGATTAATTGAAACAAAAAAGTCTATGGGACGGGAAGATGCCTAAGAAATTATAAAAAAATACTGGAATGCAGCTATGCACCTTATGACTTTTTTTGGCATTGGAGCACAGATGCCGCATGACTTGAATTTATTTATTTCTTTATTTTAACGGCTGAGCCAATTTACAAGGAAAAAGTAACGATATAAATATAATATAAATAGCATCATGACAAAACAACAACTTAGATAAGAAGCTTTCTAAATACACACGTAAAACATATAAAAACACAAAAACAGTAAGAAACAGTAAACAAACAATATCACACTAATTACAAATACAATCAACCACCTGTTTTAATTTTGTCTTAAATAGTCGAAGACCGCCAGCAAAGGGATCAAGAGAGCAACTGTTAAATAACCTCAAGGTTCAAGTTAAAAGAGAAAAATAGCGATAGTGGGCGTGATGAAATGGAATACAGAACATTTCCCCAAAAGGGAATATCATAGAGTAATCTCGAATGATTTAAGAGGTTATAATCACAGCTGTTTGCGCTACGAAAAGTGCCAATTAAGTTTGCTTGTGGCTTCAGCGATCAACAAATTAAAAAATTATTTCTTATAATATATATATATATATATATATATATATATATATATATATATATATATATATATATATATATATATATATATATATATATATATATTATTAAAGATATGCAATGGAACAAATTTCCTTAAATGAAAAATGATATTTGCACTCATTTATGAGCAGGTTTGATCTCTTAACTTCTTTTTTTTACTTAAAAATAAAAGCCAATTTCTCCTCATGCCGTCACATTAACGATAATGTTATGACCACGCAGAGAAGAAATTTTTATTTTTTCAGGCGAAAACCGTACATCAAATTGAAAAAGTGAAGAAATTAAATTTCAAGTGAAAACTATCCCAAAAATCGATTACTTAATTATCGAAATTCAATTATAAAACACTCTGTATATATTCTGTGTACGAAATGTCTGATACTTTAGTTAATCTGATGATAAACGAAAAGAAGTTTTAAATTTCCTTAACATTCTTTTATTTTTGTTTAATTTAGATGCCAATAGCTAAATGCTTGTCCGATTCGAACATATCACTTTCGAGAATGCCGTAAAAGACATTGAGATATATTTTTATTTATATTCAGGCAGCAAACTGTAGCCACTTTCGAGAAGAAGCGTCCACACTGTGGATTGATTCTATTTGTACTTAACATGTTCGCGTTACTTGGACGAAACGGAAAAGCTCGAATTGCGCATATAAATCGTTCTACGCGGTTGCACTTGCTCGGAATCTGCTAATTGCATACTTACGTACTTCACTGTTGGCCAAGAAATATCGAGTATAAAGTAACAGTGGTCAGAGGACTGGCTGACGTTGTTTGAACACGTTCAAAGTGAGCGATATCAGTTTTCTTAATGTTTTTCAATTCTTAGCGACTGTTTTCGCTATTGTAAAGCTTTGGTATTTACGGAAACCGAAGAAAACAGTAAAAAAATGAAAAGATAGTCTACAGTTTTATTGTAGTCATAATGGGCATTTCTACGTGTCGCATTTTATCATCCGAGCCTGGCTTTCAAGATAGTGTTTGCTTTGGCTCCAAAAAAGAAACCAGGCCTTGATCGCATACGTTCGTAGCTTTCAAAATATTGTCCAACTTTGGTAGTGCCTCTCGATATTATTTTACAGAAATGTATTCCAGATTTTGCAACATTCTACAAACTGTGCTAATCCTGAGTTCTGATAAAGCGACAGTGGTTAATTTGAGGTCCATGTCATTTTGAAACCATTACAATCTAGACCATTTAATATAGACTTAAAATGAGACAATATAAACCTTAAGACAGTTACTCGAGTTACAGATTAGATGTAGAAAAAATTGAAAATGGCTTGAGAAATCAGTCGTTTTAGTTTATAACAGCGTTATCATATAATCATCCACTGTTTGGAAGTAATTTGATCGGATAAAGGGTGTCCAAGAAAAGAAGAAACCTCAATTTTAGATATAATATAGACAGACACTACTACAGCTACAGTTTTATAAATTTCCGTCGTATTTTTCTTTAAAAATTCAAAAGTCACTTGTCTTTAAATGCAGACGTAATCGTATGTATAATACGACCAAAAATATAGTGCGCTCATTGCTTTGATTTTTTACGGTACCTTAACAGCAGACCTTCGCAGGACCGTGGTAAAACTCATCCCAACAGATGTTTATTTTGCATTTAGTAGGGCCGTAAAGAATGTATGTTCAAACTTGAAATTTTTATTTGAAACGCAGATGGAGGCTGTTTTCACTGGATAGTTCAAACGGTATTTATCTTACAGGTAAGCTTGAAAATAATCATTTATGTCTTGTGTGATTGTCGATTAACGACATTGTGCTTCTTGTATTTTTGTGTCTTTTACATAGTTCTTCGATTTGTGAACAACAACAGTCTTTTTTAAGAGTATATATTGTATTTGCAATGCGGAATTTGAAGACGACATGACCAAAGTTCAGAAATCAACTGTAAGAAAAATTGTTGCAAATGGGAATGTCAAGAGGAATGTGAGAGAAGATGCCGACTGACGTACTGACAGTAAACATTAGTTGTGCCAAAGAGTCATTGTGTACTTTTTTGATGAAAATGGATTTTTAGTTCAGATAGCGTGATAACAGTAACAAATGTGTACTATACGTGCCGCCTTTACATAGAAAACGCATTCTGGGTCCAAAAATGGTTGGGCGGAAGATGCCTTATTTTTGTCTGAAAAAAACGTGCCAAGTGTGGATTACAATGAAAACATGACCGCCGAAATATTTGAGGACTGGTTTGACAATAAACTGCTGCGAAAACAAATATCAAATACTGTTATTGTGTTGGATAATGCCTCTTATCATTTGGCCCAAATTAGGAAAACTCCAAATACAAAGGATTTCTGTACGAAAAAGATTTATATTTGGAAGAGAGCTATAGGAAGAAACAGCTTTCAGAATTACATGTTTCAAGAATCGCTTGGCGAAAAAAATTGAACACATACCCTTTGTTAGTGTAGGTAGATAAATTCCTAGGACGGTCCTGGAATGGTTACAGTTAAGGGTCTGCGGGGCAGGGTGTTCTATAAGGGGCCCCGGTTTTCGAGTAATAAACAGTACGCAAAGTTAATCGCGGGGTCTATTGGAAAAGCACTATATTTCTGGTCGAAGTATACGATTATTATATGTATACGCACTTTTTCAACTTTGCTTAAATGAAACGTTTAGAAAATTCTCTAGCGTTACTGTAATTCGACAGGCTTGTCAGCCTTTGGGTTCGTAAATAAATAAATGTACAAGCCGACGGCACAACTAATTGTTAAAGAAGTCGCTTATTATTATCGCGTGGATGTAAAATGTGCATTTGGTATTATTGGCACCGGACTCTTCACTCCCGATCAACTTACCTTGTCCATTTTCGGTCCAAAGTGAAGAAAAACCTCGCCGATCCGGTTCGAGCATTTACCTTCCGACAGACACGGCACTTTATAATAACTTCGCCACACACTTTAACGACATTCACATCTTCCGCGACGGTGATGGTCGGCGGGGCTCTTCGGTCTCGACGGCCAAGAAAACACTGCGGGCCGAATCCCGGTTACAGGACGACGTTTGCAGCGTTGTGACGTCACCCAACAGGTTGGCCACGCCGACGGCCTTATCTCTGGAGGTGGGCCAGCAAGGGGGGTCCCAAGACGCGGAGACGCGACCCACGTAGATCCGCAATCTAATTAAGTGATCGCGTTAAAGCGGCCACGTGATCCCGTCCGATGTGGCGGATGATTAGTGACGATTTTCGGACAGGAAAAAGATGTGGATTGCCATCACTTCCGGCAACATCCCGTTCTATTGCAGAGATGACGTCCATTGATTTCACACCAGAAAAAGTGAAAGACGCTGTGAAGAATTTATAAACTGATGATCAATGAAGCACGAGAAAATGGTAAATTACCAGAACAGTGGAAATCCTCTACTGTAACACCATTACGCAAGAAAGGCGATAAGCACATAGAAAGCAATTATAGCCCAATTAGCTTAACATGTCCTTTTGCTTAAGTTCAAACCCTGCGGAATTATAGGAAATATGCTACGTCTTATTGCTTCATTTCTGAAAGATCGTTACTATCAAGTACGACTAAATGGCAGTTTGTCAAATAGGCATAAGTGAAAATATCAAAACTTCAATCACACTGTTGCAGATGATACCAAACTCTATGCGAATACTACCGAAAACTATGACTTCACAGAGACCTAACAATGATAGAAGTTTGGAAAATGAAGCTAAACGCAGAGAAATGCAATGTTTTGAGTATTGGAACAAACAGAACTGAGTATCGTTATACCCTTAATAAAAAGAGCTTACAACATGCAGAAAAACAGAAAGATCTTGGAATTATGTTAGCCTCCAACTTGGAATGGGAGACACATATTTCAAAAGTAGTTAAACAGGTTAATTCTTTGGTGTTTTGTATGAAGAAGTCATAGTAAAACTTTATAAGTCTTTCATTCGTCCAAAATTAGAAAATGCTCGAATGCGTTCAAATTAGAATAACAAAACTTCCAATACATTTATCTAATGATTCCTCTTGGTGATCTAATTGAGACTTACAAAATGATACAAAACTATTACTCATGTGAACTGAACATCTTTCAAATAGACCCGAATATCCATCTACTAGGTCACTTCAAATAAATTACTCAAAGAAAAGACTGCCAAACTATAAAGAAAAAAACTTCCCGTGTAACAGAGTGGTGTATACCTGGAACTCCCTGTCCAGTGTCCGCAACAATACTAATTCCTCCAACAACAAATTGGACTGAGAATTGCACCAGCTAATGAGACTAGATACTCATAATAATTAATAACCCTTTTTTCTTTTCTTTTTTGCTTTTGTAGAAATCTTTTTCTTTTTTGTGATATCATTGAAGATACGCTATATACATACATATATTATATGTTTTTTAACAAGTATTATTATTATTTTTTTAATATAAAATGTATTCACAGCCCTTTGACATTTTAATCTTTGAGTGTTTTGAGGCATCGCTTATATGAGTGAAAATCAAAAAACCAAAAGTATGAAAATTGAGTACTTTTACATTTCTATACAAAACAACATAAACCTATCATTAATCTCAAAATCGATTCTGATATTGTATGTATGTATAATGTAACTATGTACAGATGGTTTTATTAGTGTAATTTAATCAGATTATACCCACCTAAATAAAGAAGAAAGGTTTTATTATTTCCAAGAACTCTTTGAGAGTCCGTCGCTGATGTTCTGTCCTTTAATATCTATCGGAACGGAGTTTTATTGCCATTGGCAAGTAACTTCTATCTATCTAACTTTATCCCTAGTGTTTTAATGCCTTTCTTGAACAATAGCGAGAAGTTTCGTATACAAAAATTACAAATAACACACTACCATCTGGGCTTTAACCGTATCTACTGCTACTGCTACCTCTTACTAACATTGATTTATTTATATGCAGCATGTATTTTTATTTATTTTATTTATTATATTATTTTTAAAATGCGCAACTTAAAAGTGTTTAAAGTATTTTTTTAATGAGATGTTTTGAATTGGTTTTGAAATTTTTCAATATTTTAAAAAATAATGATATATATTCAAAACCTAATAGTTTCTGCGATATATTTTCCAAAAATTTTTCTAAAAAGATACTAGTTTTCGAACTTGCAAAAAAATTGGATAGAGGAATTTTGGCGAAACCGTTGATAAAGCAGCAGACAATTTGGTTGAAATTAACGGACAAATTTATCTTTGTTTTGTTTACTAGATTGGGGGATATAATTAGTTTCGATTTTTCTGCTGTTTGAGGCGGCGTAGCCTGATCCTCTTCTTCATGTTGTGTTGACTCGTCTTCCTCTACCTTCAGATTTTTTCAAAAATCCGAGGTGTATACGGGAACGAATTTTTTACAGAAATAAGGTACAAAAAGTGACACCAAAATGAGCGTGAGACCTCAATGACAATTTCGCAAAATGAAATATTAACCTCTAACCGCAGATAACGCGAGAACTCATCGCGGCTCGTCTCTTAGCCTGTGTGGTCCGTGGAAGAATTGAGCAGTAAGATTGTGTAGCCGATAAAAGGCCGACCTGGCGGATTTCGTTCGAAACAATGGGTTTATGCATGGGCGCGCTCCGAGGGGCTGGGAAGCTACGTAAAAATTAAACTGAGCTCGCCGTTTCTTATAAATTAGCGCTATAAAGATTTAGACAGTTGCGAGCAGCTCTGTCACTAAGGACACCTCTAAAGAGAAACTCCCGTTATTCTCAAAATATTAGTTTATCGGTTATCGAACGAAAAATATATTTTCTTATATATGCATATCTTTTAATTACTCAATATAACGTATAAATTAATAAATGTAATAGTTATTTTTAACTGAAGTTCAGAAATTTTGGTTTTTGAGATATAGGGTGAAATAGAAAACTATCGATCGCATCTCCGTCATCTTTTAAGTTATTGATCGTTGAGTCGTTTATTAGGTACAATTATTTACAATATTTTATTTTATTTGGCAATTATTAATCTATTATAAATAATATCCAAGTAATGCTTTTTATAAAACCGCTTTATATTGTTTCAGAATTGATTACATGCAAGAATTTTAGTTTCCTATTCTATTTGATATTTTTCATCCGGTTTCTCCGACGTATTCTTTGCCGCATATGCATTGAACGCTGTAAACTGCTGGTATCTGAAATGGAATTTTGTCTTCACGTTATATTTCTTTAGAACTTTTGGTATGTCGTCGGTGATGTTTTGAATGTAAGGAAGAACAACAGTGGCAAGTGTGGGATTGCTTTCGGCTTCATTACTATTGAAAGGTTGCGGTGAGGTATATTTTGTGATGGAACGCTTAATATCTTTAATGTGAAAATTATTAGACAGTAGAGCAGATATAGGGTGTTTTAATTCTGGGTTCAGTGACTAGGGCTAAGATAGTTTTACAGCTCTGTAAACAAGAAAGTTGATAACCGATGATTTTTGGGCCTGAGGGTGATGTGACAATGCATTAAGGTATCGGTCTGTGTGTGTAGGTTTTCTGGAGAACCCATAGCTGTTCCCGACGTTTGTTCAAATTTTTGAAATAAAATAATAACAAATAAAGAATATTAACATGAAATTATAGCTAAACTGCACATTTATCTTATTTTTTACTGGCATTTAAAAAAAGTATTGGTCTTCTTAGTAGAGTTTCGCAAGTCAAATCAATTTTTTTTAAATGCCATTAAAAATAATTCCATGAGAGCAAATAGTTTTTAATTTAAACACCGGTTTTAACTAAATTTAATAGTAGTTAGTTAATAGTAGTACATAAAGTATAAAACACATTTAAATAACTGAATTTTAAAGTATTGAGTTTCTGGTACGTTAATAGTAGTTTACTTGGATATTGCTTTCAACAGATTAATTATAGTCAAATAAAATCAAATATAAGCTGAATTTTCAGAACAATTTTATACTAACACATATTTCTGAAAAGCACAAACCATTTCTAATTAATATAATAAATAATATACAGGGTGTTCTATTTACAAAAATGTATGTTTGCTTCATAATCAATGAACGCCACTGAAAATCAAGAAGCAGGAGGGCCACGATAATTTTGTTTCACAAAAAAGCAGCACAGTGTCGCGAAAACCGTATCTTTAAAAATAAGTTCAAAACATCTATCTTTATTTTTTTTATGGAAAAGAGTGTCCGATTCGGCCCAATAGAACCCACGTCCTGACTAGTTTACCAGTTCGATAAATTTCCCGGGACCCGGCCCCAAAAAGGGGTCCAAAAATACAAAATTCCCAAATTCAACTTGTATCGAAAAATTTGATATTCCAATTATTTTTCCTAAATGTCGCGACGGTAGCCAAAACTCGTCATTTAAATCCAGAACTTGAGGCGCCAAAATAGAACCCAGACAACGCGACTGTTTCCATTCAGCAGGAAATAGATCCACATTTTCGCGGATTGTTTACGACGCAGGTCATGAATTAATTCATTCCCGGTACCAAACCTCTAAATATACTGACGGTAGGAACTTCCCGTCTGGCTATTCTCGGAATCCCAGAAAATTTCTACGATTTCGTTTTTGTTGGCGCGTAGTCCTTAACTTAAAGGTATAATACGACCAAAAATATAGTGCATTTATTGCTTTGACGTTTTAAGTTTACGGTACCTTAACCGCACACATTCGCAGGACCGTGGTAAGACCCATCCCAACAGATGTTAAGATTATTAGGTTGCTTATAGATTTCTATAGACTCTCGGATTTTTCGTTAATTGCATGCAAGAATTTTCGTTTTATCGAATGAAATGACGTAGTTGACAATATGACCCGTCTGTAAAAATATCTTGAATCTTTTCCTGATATTTATTTGGGTTCATGACGATGTCGCGATTAGATTTTAGAGATTTTAGGGCAATGCGTAGAGGCTTTGCAATATTAGATTTAGGGGGTTTTGATTTTTTAAGGATTTTTGAGGTTTCAAATCGAATTTCATTAGCTGTTTGAGATGGCAGTTTGTTTAGGATAACACGTGGGGCAAGGACGAAGTTGGA